TGTTTGGTTGCTAGGTTACGCCTCCCACAACGGGGTCCCCCATCTGCCCCCCGCTCTGGGAACTCCGGGGATGCCTCCTGATGCACCACTCGGCCCACCGAAGGCCCCAAAAGCCGAGCCAACCCTGCCCTTCGCTGCCCCACGCAGGCACAGAGCACACCCGGGCTCCCTTTGCGGCCGAGGTTCCCCACTTGTCTAGCGCTCCGAGGCCTGATGGTGCAGCCTGGGCACGTTGAAAGGCTGCGCCTCGTCCCGCGGACCCTGCCGGAGCACCTAGCTGCTCCGCCTGCGACCTCACCTTGAGCACCCGCTCGAGGATCCGCTGGATGGACTTGCACAGCTCCTCCTTGCCCAGCATCTTCCCCAGCTCCTGGTGCAGCAGCGTCCCGAAGGTGTGAACGGCGTCGTCCATTTGCTGCAACAAGGAACGTCACCGGGGGGTGTCCCAAGAGGAGGCCAAGAGACCAGGGCGCCTCAGGCTGGACACCCCGCAAAGGGCAGGCCCAGCAGCACGCAGCCACATGGAGACGGGCCACAGGTACTGAACTCGCACCAGGACGGACGGCAGGCCCCCCGTCAGCTAGGCCATCCCACCTGGGTGCTGCACCCCATCCCGATTCGGAGTGCACCAACTTTGCCTGCACAAAGGTGTTTGCTTTCCCACCGCTAGAGGGCACTAGCAGCACGTCCCCCGAATACAGAGCTGCAGTGGTGCATGGGAGACCACAAACTCCTCCCCACTCCCTGGGCCTGCCAGAGGATTCCCGTCCATAGCGGCCCCTCCTCTCTCCATTGGGGGCTCTCCCAAGTCAGCTGGGCCAGGTTGTATGGGATGGAAGCGATGGAGGGGGACGTATTCCAGTTACCGAACGTCTCCCGGTTCTCCGCGGGTGCCAGAAACCCCAGTGCAACATGACACCGGCCCAGAGGCTCCTCCACAGCTCCCCGAGGCATGCTTCCTCCACAGAGCAGACCACTGCTGTGGAAGGGCGAAGAAGCGCATTGGATCGGTGCAGCCCAGGCCTGGCCACCCATCCTGGCACCAGCGCAAAAGCGTCGGAGGTGTACGAGGTCTCCCCGTCCCCGCGCACACACAGGCGTTCCCAATGCACAGTCACAGCACGTAGGGTCAAGCTTACACAGAGCAGAGGGGACAGCGGGAGCTCGCGCGTGCCGGGCCACGGGCAGTGCGGCGCCGGGGAGCAAAACCAGGGGTTGCCCAGGGCCAGGTCTGCCACTAGGGCTTTGTTTTTCTCCTCTGAATATGGCAAAGTCCCTGAAATACGCTTGTCTCCACACCAGTGAAGCTGTTCATTTAACAAGGCAGCTCTTTCAGGGGACGGCTCCCGGGGCTGGGTGCAGCCAGACGCCCAGCCAGCCCCATGCACAAGAGCACGCGCCAGTAGGGGGCGCCCCTGCAGCACGACTGCTGACCGGCCACGGCCAAGGCAGGGCACAGAGAGAGTTTCAAAGAGTGCCTGAATTCCTAGGCCCAGGGAACAGCCTAAAACCTGTCCGGACAGCCCTGGTGGCCGGGGTCAGACGGCTCCCCGCTGGATCGCAAGCACGAAGGCTACTCACCGCCTGCGTGGCGACTACTAACACCCACCTCTCTCATGAGGATCTGGGCCCTCTGCTTGAACACGGAGGCGCTGGAGACGTCAAATCGCTGCTGAAGCCCTTCCAGTTTCAGCTGGTCCATCTTCTCGTAGCAGGACTGCATCTTGACGGGGTGAAAGGCCAGCTGGGAGAGCTTCTCCATGTGCTGAAGAGCAAGGAGACACGGACGCAATTCACCGGCTGCACCGAGAGAGTCGCCAGGCCGGCCGCGGCCTGGCATCAGAGCAGACCCCACGCGTCCAGAAGTCAGCATCCTTCCTCAACTGCGCCCATTTAATCCGGCTCACAAAGAGCCTTTCCACGCGTCCCTGGGTCCCCGCCAGCTGCACACACATCGGGGAGCCCGGTGACGGAAGAGCCACCTGCTACAGGTCACAGAATCAAACCCAAGGTCTCCACTGTTAGCGCGGCGCGGCAGGCAGTCGTGTGACCGTCTGGGGCTGCTCGGACGCACACAGAAGGACCCAGCTGGATAGAGGGAGACCCCATGGTTCCATGTGCAGGTGAAACCGCACGCCCTGGATTTTGTTAGGCTACTAGCTGCCCAGGGCTCGGGAAGAGAGCTGGGAATCCAGTTCCCACCTGCAGTGAATTGGTCCAGCTTCTGCTAGACCAGCAATACATAAGAAGAACATAAGAACGGCCGTACTGGGTCGGACCAAAGGTCCATCTAGCCCAGTAGCCTGTCTGCCGACAGTGGCCAGCACCAGGTGCCCCGGAGAGGGTGGACCGAAGACAACGATCAAGCGATTTGTCTCCTGCCATCCCTCTCCAGCCTCTGACAAACAGAGGCCAAGGACACCATTTTATCCCCTGGCTAATAGCCTTTTATGGACCTAACCTCCATGAAATTATCTAGCTTCTCTTTAAACTCTATTATAGTCCTAGCCTTCACAGCCTCCTCTGGCAAGGAGTTCCACAGGTTGACTACACGCTGTGTGAAGAACTTTCTTTTATTAGTTTTAAATCTGCTACCCATTAATTTCATTTGGTGTCCTCTAGTTCTTCTATTTAGGGAACTAATAAATAACTTTTCTTTATCGGCCCTCTCCACACCACTCATGATTTTATAGACCTCTATCATATCCCCCCTCAGTCTCCTCTTTTCTAAACTGAAAAGTCCCAGTCGCTTTAACCTCTCTCATATGGGACCTGTTCCAAACCCCTAATCATTTTAGTTGCCCTTTTCTGAACCCTTTCCAAGGCCAAAATATCTTTTTTGAGGTGAGGAGACCACATCTGTACACAGTATTCAATGGGATTTATGGATCTAATGGGACCGGGATTGGTGCTGCCCCAGGAAGCCCTCGGCCTCCTACGGTCTCTGGCTTAGAGGAGAGCCCAGACTGCCAGCTCAGTCGGGAGCAGGCTAGGGGCGCGGCTATGGGTTTATTCTCATCATTCGACTCCAGCCTTACTCAGGACAACGGGGGTAGGAAGCGGTGCCCCCCCCAAGGCGGATGCTCCTCTCAAATTCAGGCAGGGGTGGAGAAGCCACGTGTCAAGCGGCCCATTCATGCAGCACGTTGCCCTCTGCCCACGGCGGCAATCTGAACAGCTGCATCACCCCTTCCCCTGGGCCTATGGCCAGGCCAGAACAGCAACCCAGCAAGGTCTTTCAGGGGCCTCACCTCTCCCAGGCTCTCCATCCCGCTCTCGTTGATGACATTCATGTTCATGTCAGTGACCTCCTTGAAGAACACTTCCCGGACCTCAGCAAAGCCCTGGCTCGTGGGAGTCATCAGCGCCTCCAGGATGGACGGGATGTAGGGCTGCACGTGGTTTCGGACACAGATCTCCGCTTTGGGGAGCACAAAGGCTGGAGGAGGAAGAGACAGATGATGAGCATGGGATGGCTCCCGCTCCGCCCTCCTCTGCCGCTGCGCTTTGGAGCGCCTGGCAGCCTAGCATGGGGCTGAGGCTCCTAGACGGACACCCTAGAAGGGCAGGAATTTCTCTGTTCCACCCCCTCCAGGTAGAGACCCGAAAGCTAGCGGAGGAGCTGGATCCACTTATACATGGGACGACAGAGTTGTCTAGCCCCTGCTGCGGCAGGCTTGAAGACCCACAAGGTCCTTTCCCATCCTACGGCCAATCAGCCTGCAACCACAGCCCCTCTGCCTGCGGCACCGGGCAGGCCTCGAAGGGCAGAATTCTAGGAAAGATGCGTGGAGGTGCAGAGAGTGCTCCTGGCAATTCAGCACTCGAGTGTCAGCACGGACCCCGTTCCTGGCTTTTGTCTGAGCTCCTGGTACCACAGGGCTTCTACAAACACAAGAGCTTGTCTCAAAACCCTGCCCCAATTCTAGCCTGAACAGCTCTAGTCCATTGCCAGCAGCCCTGTCCCTGCACTGCCAAGGCATGTTTCGCTCTCTGCCCTTTGCAGAAGTCACGTTCCACCTGCAGCACAGCGCCCTTCGTTTGTTAAAAAGGTCGAACCTCTCTCTGCACTGCCATGGCATGTTTCGCTCCCTGTCCAGCACCGCTGGCCCTTAGCAGAAGTCACGTTCCACCTGCAGCGCAGCGCCTTTCGTTTGTTAAAAAGGTCGAACCTCTCTCGTCCGGCACCCTCGGAACCTGACCACTTGCACTGCGTCCTGGGTTGTTAGACATCGAGGGGTAAATTAGCGCTAAACAACAGCACAGAACACTGAGCCAGGACTGGTGGCTGTGAACAAACTTTTTGGGACCATGGGAAACTTGGCCGCACTCATGATAAGTGGCCATCCGGATGACTAAAATCATGCCGGCCCATGGATGTTGCTGGACCAGAGTGTGCCGGACTAGAGAGGTTCAGCCTGTACGTGAGGTCCTTCAGGGAATAAGGAGCTATGTATGGGGACCACCTCTGATGGAGGGAAATAAGGGAAAAGCACATGAAAAACAAGGGACACCACTTTATTTCAAGGGACGTTTTAGAGAAACACCATTTCCTCCTCCCCTCCCCGCCCCCAGGTATGTTCCTATTGGTCTGAAATACACACTGCAATTAGCATAAGCCTCAATTTCACGTTTAAAACAGAACTTATCGGTTTTAATGCATTTCAATATCGCTAAGGGAGGGGCGATTCCTCAGAGCCCAATCAAAGCCAGAAGGGATGGATGCTCACCCTGGAGCGATGGGAACTAGAGAACGGCTCCAGCATTTGCCTCTTCGCACCCGGGTGAGGTTTCCCACTCCCAGCCCTAGGAGCGCACTGAAGTTTTCAATGTCAGGATTTTTGACCAACCCAACAACTGCCGGTTGTAGC